ATTGTGCCTCCTCGCACAACCAAAATTGAGGACAACAAAGATTTAGAAACAAAAACACAACCAGAACAGAAAGGAAATTGAACTGTACGGAAGTTTGACAACCATTCAATCAGATGGGTAAGAGGGGTGGAGTTGGTGGCTAGAGAAGAGGGGTGTGGCAGGACAGGACAGTGGCTGCCAGACCCAAGAGCGCAGGTGGTGCGGGGCTGATGGCAGTTACACATTCTCGTGCAGATAAACTAGGCAAAAATGGGCAGCAAGACAGACCGCGCAACCCAGGGCCCCAGAGATTGGAAATAAAGCCTAAAAGCACCAGTTGAAAAGGTGCCGGGAGAGACTCCCAGCCTCACAGGAGAGTTCCTTAGAGAGACCCACAGGGTCCTAAAATGTACACAAGCCCACCCACCTGGGAACCAGCACCAGAACAGCCCAATTTGCTTGTGGGAAGTGGTAGAAGGGACTGAAATCTGAGAGAGAGTAGAACAAGCACCATTGTCCCCTCCTGACCCCACCCCCACATATAGCATCACAACCCAGCAACTGGGTTGACCCGCCCTGGTGAACACCTAAGGCTCTGCCCCTCACTATGCATAACAGGTGCAACCTGACCAAAAATGTCTCAAACAGAAGAACAAATCAAATCCCCAGAGCCAATACTTTTAAGCGACCAAGAGATAGCCAACCTAACAGATGCACAGTTCAAAACACTGGTGATCAGGATGCTCACAGAATTGGTTGATTTTGGCTGCAAATGAAAAATGAAAGGTGAAAAAATGAAAGGCTACACTAAATGAAATGAAGAAAAATGCACAGGGAACCAATACTGATGGAAAGAAAACTGGGACTCAAATCAAGGAAGTGGACCAGAAAGAAGAAAGAAACAACCAAACAGAAAAAAATGAAGAGACAAGAATTCAAAAAAAAAAATGAGGAGAGGCTTAGGAACCTCCAGGACATCTTTAAATATTCCAACATTAGAATTATAGGGGTACCAGAAGGGGAAGAGGAAGAGCAACAAGTGGAAAACTTATTTGAACAAATAATAGAGGAAAACTTCCCCAATCTGGCAAAGAAAATAGACTTCCAGGAAGTCCAGGAAGCTCAGAGAAGGTGGACCCAAAGAGGAACACACCAAGGCACATCATAATTATATTACCCAAGATTAAAATGAAGGAGAGAATTCTAGAAGCAGCAAGAGGTAAGGGGAAGGTCACCTACAAAGGAGTTTCCATCAGACTGTCAGCTGATTTCTCAAAAGAGACCTTACAGGCAAGAAGGGCTGGAAAGAAGTATTCCAAGTCATGAAATGCAAGGACTTACATGTTAGGTTACTCTATCCAGCAAAGCTTTCATTTAGAATGGAAGGGCAGATAAAGCGCTTCTCAGATAAGGTCAAGTTAAAGGGGTTCATCATCACCAAGCCTTTATTATATGAAATATTAAAGGAACTTATCTAATAAAAATAAGATAAAAATATGAACAGTGAAAGGACAGCCAACTCAGTTATTAACAACCACACCTAAAACAAAAGCAAACTAAGTGGACACCTAAAACAGGAGCTGAGCCACAGAAATAGAGATCACATGGAAGGTTAGCAACAGGGGAGTGGGAGGAGGAGGGGGCAGGGAGAAGGTACAGAGAATAAGTAGCATAGATGGTGGGGAGAAAATAGGCAGGGGGAGGGCAAGTGTAGTGTGGGAAATGTAGAAGCTAAAGAACTTATAACACATGGACATGAGCTAAGGGGGGATGGGGGTGGGAGAGGGTGTGCAAGGTGGAGGGGAATGAAGGGGGGAAAATGGGACAACTGTAATGGTATTATCAATAAAATACATTAAAAAAAGAAGAAGAAAATTTAGCACACCCATGCTAATAGCACTTTTTACAATATCCAAGAGGTGAAAGTGACCTATATCTCCATCAGTGGATGAATGGATAAACAACATGTGGTACATGCATACATATATACATACAATAGAATATCATTTGACCTTAAAAAGAAATAAAGTTCTGATAGATGTTATGACACGGAAGAACTTTGAAGATATTATATTAAGCAAAACAAGCCAGTCACAAAAGAACAAATGCTGTATGATTCCACTGATATGCAGTATCTAAATAGCCAACTTCATAGAAACAGGAAGTAGAATGATGGTTTCCAGGGGGGAAGGGGAGGGAGCAATGGGTACAAAGTTTTGGTTTTGCTAGATGAAAGACTTGTGGAGATCTCTGCACAACAATGTGAATATACTTAACACTACATATGTAAAAAAGTGATTGATGGTTAAAAAAATAAAAAAGAACATTGGGGTGTGTAGGTTCTTTTGAATTAGTGTTTTAGGATTCTTAGGGTATAATCCCAGCAGTGGAATTGCTGGGTCAAAAGGCAGTTTCATTAATAGCCAAGTGCTAGAAGCAGCCTAGGTGCCCATCAGTAAATGAGTGGATCAAAAAACTGTGGTACATTTACACAATGGAATACTATGCAGCAGAAATAAAGGACCTCCTACCCTTCACAATAGCATAGATGAAACTAGAGAGCATTATGCTAAGTGAAGTAAGCCAGGCAGTGAAAAACAAATACCATATGATCTCACCTATAAGTGGAACCTAATCAACAAAATAAACAAGCAAGCAGAATAGAACCAGAGACATGGAAATAAAAAACAAACTGACAGTAACCAGAGGGGAGAGGGGAAGAAAATAATGGGGGAAAGAAGGGAAAGAATCATCAAAGAACATGTATAAAGGATCCATGGACAAAGCCAAAGGAGGGTAGGATTGAGGGTGAGAGGTGGAGTTGGGTGGGGCGGGGGAAAGTGGTCGTGGGAAAAATGGAGACAACTGTATTCAAACATTAATTAAAAAATGATAAAAATAAGTAGAAAAGAAGAAAATTTAATCCAGAAGGAAGGTATGGGGTTCAAGAAGCAACATTGAGCAAAGAAGCTGGTAAACATGTTGGTAAATCTAAATAAGAGTTGAGCCCTGGCTGGTATAGCTCAGTGGATTAAACACGGGCCTGTGAACAAGAGGATCAAGTTCCCAGCAGGGGATGTACAAGAGGCAACCATACCTTGATATTTCTCTCCCTTTCTCCTTCCCTTCCCCTCTAAAGTAAATAAATAAAATCTTAAAATAAACAAATAAATAAACAAGAGTTGAGTTAAATATTCTTTCTGAAATGCAGAGAATGAATTAGAGGCGGACAAGCCTAGAGGCAGAGATAGTAGGATGGCATTCCATTAATTCAGTTTTGAACTATGGCCCCTTCTAAATTCCAGGGACAGTATCTGCATAGGTGGTAGGTCAATAAGGTGGTCATTGAAGGAGATGTCAGTGATGATACCCAAGTTTTTTTGGCTGGGATCCAGGGTGGATAGCAGAGTTGGTCATTAAAATGTGGGAAATGTAAGCAGAGAATTGCAGATTGCTTGTTCAAATCCCAGCTTCTCCATCCGCTAGCTGGTCGACCTTGAATAAGTTAAGTTCCTTAGCTTCTCTATTCTTCATTTCTCTACTTTGTAATAATAGTACTTATACCAAAAGCTGTTAAAAGGGATAAGTGAATCAATAGCCACAGAGACTTAGAATATCCCTCATTTATTAAGCACTGAATAAATATTAGGGTACAAAATATTAAGTTGGAAATCTTGGCTGGAATTTTGAACAATGTTTTAAGACTATATAACACAAATGACATTCTAAAGTGATTTGTTAGTCTGAGATGCATTACTTCAAAGGAAAAGCAAATTATGTCACTCTTAAACTGTACACCCATGTCAAAGTTTTATAAAATGACAGAGTTGTTGGAAATCAGAGAGTGAAAGGGTTATCCTGGGAGAGAGACTACCTTTGGAAAGAGATGTGCTGTTAGTTCTCCCCAAGACAAAGGCCTGAGGGTGCTGCCTTCTGGATCCAGAGCCTGATGAGAGGAGCTCCAATGACTGACTCCTGCTTGATACATCAAAAAGGCAAAAGACAGCATTCCCAGGCAATGAATGGAGGAGATGTGGCTGCATTGAAATAGGCCTGCATGCCCCGTTTGTTGGCCCTAAGGATGCGTATACTTCCTGTGGACCAGATGTGAGCATGCCCAGGAGAGAGCTAGTGTGAGTTTATTTTATGTTGTGCTTAACAGAATCCCCTGGAGAAGTGAATAGGCTTCAAAGGTTAAAAAGAAAAAAGAATCCATTTGACAAACTGTCAAAAAAGATCAGATCACTTAAATGGTGAAAGAAGTCTATCCAGCTGAACTTAGACTCCTCAATGACAATATTAAGTGTTAGAAAACAGTGGAATGATGCCCCAAATAGCCACAGGGGCAGAATCAAGAACTGAGGTCCCCTCCGACTCTTCTCCTTGAGGAGGGCAATGTTGGCCCTGGGAGCTGCGACAGAGTAAACAGATCCCTCACTCTGCACTTGTGAGTTACTCTCCCACCCACCCACCCACCCACCTGCTCTCCCAGCCTTGCCCCTTACCATTCTTTGGAGGGGATCCTGGCTCTAGCTATGCGGCAAGAATGGGGATGGGGGCAGGCATCATAGTTCTCATTGGGCCAGGAGGAGAGGAGATGGGCTCCTGGAGTTGCAGAAGGTGCATGGAGCAGATACCCCATTGTGTTGTGGGGAGAAAACTGTGCTCTTTCTCCCAGCCAACAGGAGAGGACATCCTGAGATAAACTTCAGGATATTCTATCTGTTGTTGGTGGCAAGCCCTCACTCATGTTGGAAACATGCTGAAGTCATTGCCCCCTTTCCGACGATCTGAAAAGTCCTGTTTCAGTTCAGTTAGGACACGTACCCTCACCCTCAACAACAGAGTTATTCTCCACAGCCCATTCTTTAAAGGCAGGGCTGCCTGCTCCTCCAGCTGCAATTCTTTTACCCTTCACTAAGGCTGCCAGGAATGAAAAGGGGAGGGGGAGAGGTGGGCGGTGGCAGGAGGCAGGACCTAGGGCAGAGCTGGGACCCTGTGAGCTCTGGCCTGAAGCTGATTCTGTCTCCTCCTGCTGCTGGTACTTCTGCTCAAAGCTGCCAGGTGAGTGCTCATGCTGGGACAGGGGCAGCTGGGATGGCAGGGCTGGGGGTCAGAGGTGGTGGGGGCTGCTTGGAGCTCTACACTGCTTCCATCAACTCCAATGTGTGCACCACTGACCTGGGGGTATTATTAAAGTTCAGATTTAATTGGCCAAGCTGGGATTCAGCCTGAGTCTGCATACATGGTGATGCCTGTTCTGCTTCACATGGACCACACTTTGAATGAAAGAATCTAGAATGTTTTCCAGGCCAGGTGGGGTGGGATGGGACCAGTGAGTGGGATCCAGCACTGTCCTCAGTGGACATCCTTCAGTCATACCCTAACTGTCTGAGATGAATTCTGCCATTGATGGAATCCTGAAAATTTTCTCCAAAAGAATAGATGCTTAGAAAAAATTCTTACCATAATCATGATGGAATTTAAAAATCTATCTACATATTTGAACTCTCGGCTTTCCTCCCTCTCCCAACTATTGAGCTCACAGGTATTGCTCCCCTGATTAAAGTCTTAACAGGGCTCAGATCCAACCAATTTTCTCCCAGATAGATTTATCTGCAAACTATTTCTCCAGTCCTAGAAAGAGGTGTCCCTTGAGCTGAACTTTGCCAGTAATGCTTAACCCTTAGCTCCCTAGGTCCTGAAGTTCACCCTGGGTCACTGGTCCCGGTGGATGGAGCTGCAGACCTGTTTATAGGAGGAGGGTGTGGGTCTCAGAGAATGAGACAGGTGCACTGGGGACTGCAGGAAGAGAGTGGGGGTGGGGAACCACAAAGTCACAGGAACTCAGGGGATGAAGGAGGAGGGACTGTGTTTAGGCTCTGGCCTATAGGAAACTCCCTTTGGTCTGCAGACTTTGGGAGATGGAGCACAGTTTTGCCTGAATACGAGACCCAGGAATATGTAGAATAGGTATTGTTTTGGTGATAACAGCCATGGGGCCAAGGACAGGAAGGTCACTCAAAATTAGATATGGGGGCTCCAAACTAAGGGGTTGTTAGGCAAGTTCTCTTGTCCTCCGTTTTCTTCTGTCCCTTCTAAACCGCTAAAGCTCTGTGGTGAGCTCTGGAGACCCCAGTTCAGTTCCTAGAGCCTCGCAGAGGACATTTGTGTGTCTGGCTGGGTCTTGGGTGGGCACAGTGCAGAGAGAAGAACTAGAGACTGGGCCTCTGGGAACTAATTAAATTCCCAACACTTAAAATATGCCAGGCCTGCTCTGTGTTAAATTGCAGTTCTGCTGGGAATGTGCTGGAAGTCTTTAGAGGAGGGGTGTCAAACTCATTTTCACTGGGGGCCACATCAGCCTCGTGGTTACCTTCAAAGGGCCGAATGTAATTTTAGGACTGTATAAATGTAACTATTCCTTAACTAGGGTCAAGGATCTTGGTAGAAACAAGGTGCCAGGCCAGGTAAGACAAGGTGGAGGGCCAGATTCAGCCCTTGGGACTTGTGTTTGCCACTTGTGCTTTAGAGGATGCTGGGCCTGCACTTTGAAATGAGGAGGCTGAGAGCAAAACTTGAAAATTGACCGTACTAGAATTCAGTCTGATAACACTCCAAGAGAGCCAGAACAGAAATCCTCAAAGCCCCAGAGCTGCCTCCCCAGGTTAGATCCCCCAACCCCCTACCCCTGACTTATGAGGCAGGGAGGGGCTGCAGGCATCCTCACTGATGGGACTGGTTGAAGGAGCATTCACGACCAGCATGGAAATGGGTGGATTATCATGTCCCACTCAACAAAAGCCCTTGGAGATGCTCTGGTACAGACGTCTTGCCTTACAGAGACAGAGCTGGTAACTGAAGCCATCAGTGGAGAGATAATGGACCGGTGCTACCCTAAAGCAGTGGTTCTCAACCAGGGTGAATGTGACCCCCAAGAGACATTTAGAAATATCTGGGGACATTTGTGGGTGAGAGGGAAGTGTGCTACTGGCATCTAATGGACAGAGGCTTGGAATGCTGCTAAACATCTCACAACACACAGGACAGCATCCCCTGTGCCCCCAAACAAAAATTATCAGGCCCCAACTGTCAAAATTGACAAGGTTGAGAAACCTAAAACCAGCATTGGACTTGATCTTCTTTTTGATATTTCATGGAGCTCAGTATCTCTCCAAACAAAATTTAATTAAGCATTTTTTAAACGATTATGCCATTACATTTGTTCTATCCCCTCCGTTCCCCTCCACCCTGCACACCCCTCTGCCACCATTCCCCCCACTTTAGTTCATGAACACGTGTCTCAAGTTCTTTAGATTCTGTATTTCCCCTACTATTCTTACCCTCCCCCCTATCTATTTTCTATCTACTGTCTATGCTACTTATTTTCTGTACCTTCTCCCCCCTTCTCCTTCTCCCATTCCTCTGTTGCTAATCCTCCATGTGATCTTCATTTCTATGGTTCACTCCTGATCTAGCTGTCCTCTTAATTTGCTTTTGTTTTAGGTGTGGTTGTTGATAACTGTGAGTTTGCTGTCCTTTCACTGTTCATCTTTTTTATCTTCTTTTTCTTAGGTAAGTCCCTTTAACATTTCATATAATAAGGGCTTGGTGATGATGAACTCCTTTAGCTTGACCTTATCTGAGAAGCACTTTATCTGTCCTTCTACTCTAAATGAAAACTTTGCTGGATAGAGCAATCTTGGTTGTAGGTCTTTGGCTTTCATGACTTGGAATACTTCTTTCCAGCCCCTTCTTGCCTGTAAGGTCTCTTTTGAGAAATCTGCTGACAGTCTGATGGGAACTCCTTTGTAGGTGACAGTCCCCTTATCTCTTGCTGCTTCTAGGATTCTCTCCTTCATTTTAATCTTGGCTAATGTAATGATGATGTGCCTTGGTGTATTCCTTCTTGGGTCCGACTTCTTTGGGACTCTCTGAGCTTCCTGGATTTCCTGGAAGTCTATTTCCTTTGCCAGAATGGGGAAGTTCTCTTTTATTATTTGTTCAAATAAGGTTTCCCTTCATGACTGTTCCTCTTCCCCTTCTGGTACCCCTATAATTCGAATGTTGGAATGTTTAAAGATGTTCTGGAGGTTCCTAAGCCTCTCCTCATTTTTTTGAATTCTTGTTTCTTCATATTCTTCTGTTTGGTCATTTTTTCCTTCCTTCTGGTCTACTCCCTTGATTTGAGTCCCAATCTCCTTTTCATTACTGTTGGTTTCCTGTACATTACCATTCATTTCTATTAGTTTAGCTTTCATATGTTTCTCTAATTTGTGACTAAAATCCACCAGTTCTGTGAGCATCCTGATCACGAGTGTTTTGAACTGTGCATCTGAAAGTTTGACTATTTCTTCATCACTTAGATTTATGGGCTCTGGGGCTCTGAGTTCTTCTTGAGCCATGTTTTGGTCTGTTTGCGCCCATTAAGTATGAGGAGTGGAACCTTAGTTGTTTACCAGGGCGGGGCCACCCAGGTTGCTGGTTTGTATTGCTGTATGTGGGGGCAGGGTCAGAGAGGGAGCAATGGCGGTCCTCTCGCCAAGTCTGTCCCACCGCTTGCCCCAGCCTGTTTATTCAAGCGGAAATGTGCGAGCCTGCGGCCCTGCGCTGTGTGGTCTCAATGCTGGACTCTTCACTGGTTTATCTGCACACAAATGCTCGACCGACAGCAGACAGCCAGCCATGCCTCTTCCCTGTGTCTGCCCGTAGCTGGCCTGCACCTGGGATCTGTGCCTTTGGCTGCTTGCACACCACCCGGTCAGGGATCTTTTTGGCCAACCCACTCTGCTGCTGGTTTCACCCCTCTTACCGGTTTAGCTGAGCATTTCGTTGTTTTCGGACTCCGTATTGTCGATTTTCTGTGTGGTTTTGTTGCGTTTATTGTTGTTTTTAGATTTGGTTGTGTGCGGACACAAGGTATTTCTACCTATGCCTCCATCTTGGTGGAAGTTCTCTCATTAAGCATTGATTGGGAAACTGTTTCTTTCCCCTGGGCACTTCACTAAATGCTTGTTTTCATCCAAAAGGTAAACTAGTGTTTTTGTTTTACTGTTGTCTTGATTTTTGAATTAGAAAATAGGTTTTGTTTCCTTATCTATTTGCCTTTTATTATTTTCAACTATTCTCTTCTTCTGAATTCTGAAAAATTACCCAATGTACTTTTAGCACCACAGTTTGATTTTCCTCAGAATCTGTCCTATTGTCTTCAACACAGATTTTAGTTGTGCTACTGACCACATTTCTCCAACTCTATTTCTGGTTGGTTTATATGTTTAAAAATCTATTTACTGTCATTTTTGAAAAGTCTTGGCAATGAAAGTAGATAAATCTCTATCTTCAATTTGCCTTCTTTACTCATGAGGACAATTTTGCATCTTTCTAAAGGCTGAAGTAGGTTTCTCCTAAAAATTTTAACCCAATTTTATAGAAATTTCATCACTGACGTACTTCTGAGTCTTCACAATCTATGATGAGGGTAGAAAGATAGGGACTGAGGAGCAGGCAGAGAGTCAAACTCTTGATTTCTAGTGGCTCAAAATATGGTTTCTTACAGTCAGTGGATGGGGACATATTTCTTTGGTCAAATGGAACCTTTGGAAGCATCTTAATCCATCCCTGCCAGTTGTACAGAAGTGACTGTTCTGCCTAAGTTTTCCCATATGGCCTGTTCTTATCTACAGTTTATGACACTAATGCCCATTTAAAATTGTTTTGTGCATCTTTGTGAGTATTATAATTGGAAAGCTGATACAGTACAAATTAAGCATGTTTCATTTGCTGCCGTATTAACTTAGAAATTCAGGTTATTACTACTAGAGTTAAAGGGGGAAGACCTAAGCAAGTTCATAGTCAGGAAATAAGGGTGGTATGAGTTAGAGGAAAGGTAATTTAGGGATCAAATCCTTGAAGAATCCAAAAAGGAGAGACCCAAAGACACAGATTTGGAAGGGAGAACAACCTTGGACAAGAGTAGGGCCACTTCTTTTTCTAAGATGCTATAGAAAGAAGTGACTATGAAGATAAGAGAAGTGGTAGCTATGAGGATTCACCTCACAAAGTTCCTAGTTTCCCTGTAGAATAAGAGGTTTGTGTGGTCTTGTAAGAGTGAGGGGAGCCAGGAGTGTAAGAGTTTGGGTTTAATGGTGATGATTAGAAAAAGTGACTGGGCACTGAGGAAGACTGCTAATTGGAACAAAGATAAAGAGGACAAACTGGGCTGTTAGCACAACGATATTTTCTCCAGAGAATTGAGGAGTTGCTGAAATCTGTTCCTAATCATGACGACCTCTTACCGTAAAGGAGATATGAGCCCTAGGAACAATGGCAGAGGAGAATAAAATTTAAAATTTTTTTCAATCAATCCTGGCTTTGACCAAACCCCATTACATTTAACTAGTAGATTCTGCTGTGTTTTATTTTAAAAAGTTCTCCTTTTTTTAGGCTAAAGAACATTAGACTAAAGCAAGCCTTCAGACGTACTCTCTTCACTTGTTCCCCAGGGAGCCCCCTAACCTAACCACATCTCAGTTTTACTTTGTGGTAGAAGCAGAGGCCAGCCCAACACACCTGTGAGTATCTGAGGGCAATGAGCCAGAGAAAAGCAGAAAGCAAGAGAATGCACTTTTTCCACAAGTTCAGCAATAATTTTGTTCAGATGGTGTTGACAATAGCATCAGAGCTGGCAGACATCACTTGGAGAAGTATTAGTTCTCAGAGGACACTGGTCTCTTACTATTTAGCCTATTTAGGGTGGGAGGGAAGGAGGGAAAAAGGTGAGACAGACCCTGGTCTCTACCCAACACTGAGAGTTGCTCTTCACTGCAGTGGTGAACAGAGGACAGAAGAGAGCCACACCCACAGTTACTCGCAATTATTATTTTACAAAGATGACTCAGTATATGAATAGGTGAAATCAGAGTTTTAATATTTGATCAACCAGATCCTTGGAGAAGAGCAAGAAAACTTATGTTACCGATCTTTGAAGTCAGAGTGAAAAGGTGGCCTATGGCCCCCCCTAAAGGACTGTAAGCAACACATCTATATTCATCATTGTCCTGTGCTCCCTAACAGGATGTGTGGCAGGTTCCTGAGGTGGCTAGTGGCTGAGGAGAGCTGGCACTCCACCCCCGTGGGGCGCCTCCTTCTTCCCGTGGTCCTGGGCTTCCGCCTTGTGCTGCTGGCTGCCACTGGGACCGGGGTCTATGGCGATGAGCAGAGCGAATTCGTCTGTCACACCCAGCAGCCAGGCTGCAAGGCAGCCTGCTACGATGCCTTCCACCCCCTCTCCCCACTGCGCTTCTGGGCCTTCCAGGTCATCTTGGTGGCTGTGCCCAGTGCCCTCTACATGGGTTTCACCATGTATCATGGCATCTGGCATTGGGAAGACTCGGGAAAGGTGAAGAAGGAAGAGGAGACCCTGATCCAACAAGGACAGGGCAGCATGGATGCCTCAGGGGCTGAAAGGCCCAGGCTGCTCTGGGCCTATGTGGCACAGCTGGGGGTGCGACTGGCCCTTGAGGGGGCAGCCTTGGGGGGACAGTACCATCTGTATGGGTTCAAGATGCCCAGCTCCTTTGCATGTCGTCGGGAGCCTTGCCTTGGCAGTATAACCTGTAATCTGTCCCGCCCCACTGAGAAGACCATTTTCCTAAAGACCATGTTTGGGGTCAGTGGGCTCTGTCTCTTCTTTACTCTTTTGGAGCTTGTGCTTTTGGGCCTGAGGAGATGGTGGCAGGCCTGGAAGCAAAAATCTTCCTGTTCTGATGTCCCAACTTCAGAGAGCACCAGGAAACACAAGGAACCAAATGATAACTTCCCAGTGGTGGAATCAAAAGACCAATTCCAAACAGCAGGTGAGAAGGGCACTGATGTCCTTTTATTCTTCTTTGTCTGATGCTTGTCCTGATGATTCCCTTCAGTGGATCTCTTCCCTCTGGGAAGTACCACTCCCACATGTTACAAAGTAGAAAAAGGTGAAGGGATTATGCAAAACAGACCAAACAAAAAACACTCATAGACACAGACAAGGGCATAGTGATTACCAGAGGGAAAAAGGGGTGGAGAAAGGTAGAAGTGGGTATAGTGGGCCATAAATGGTGATGAACTGACTTGGGTTGTGAATACGCAAACAATATACAGATGCTGTATTATAGATTTGTACACTTGAAACCTATGTAATTGTATAAACCAATATCACTCCTATAAATTCAATTAACAAAGTAGAAAACTAGGTTCTAGGTAGATGTTCTGACCTCTGCTCCCAGCCAAGCCCCAACCCTGTCAATATGATGACTCTTTCTGATAAACCATCACCAGAGTGCTCTTCCATTGACATCTCTTCCCATGTAGAAATAGTCTCAGCTTCTGCTTGATTCTCTACTTTGCAGAGTTATAAAGACACCTGGCTCAACTCTGAAGAAAACCCTATGACTGGATCTTCTCCCCAACACCCAGTGAATGGGGATTTACCTCTGTGATGAGTTAGAGGCTGTTGAAGCATATTTAAGGGCTAGAGTGTGCCATGCTGCTTAAAGCATTTCCCTGAAGAACTACTGCTTGTGCCTTCTCACCAGAATTCTCTGGTGCCAGCATCACAATTTTATGGACTTTGTTCCAGAGTCAGCCAGCAGAAACCTCCATAAAACCATGCCTCTCCTTTGTCCTGTGCAATAAAGATTGATTACTGTTGGTGTTATTCTTGTTGCTAAAGACAATCCTCCTTCCTGTCTCAGTGACTCTACTTATCTCTCTCCTGTTGTTCCACAGTCTCTGCTCCCCCCAAATTCAAAGTCCTGTAACCCTGAACACCCACAGTCTTGCTGCATTTGTCTTATCCAGAACCTCTGGCCTTCTAAGCATATGTAATGCAGTGTCCAGCATTTATATGTAGATTAGATTTATTCAAACACGTGGCCACAACCTTTAGGAAGATTACTGTGAATTCAGAGGATTATGTCCCCTGGACCACTGACAGCTCTGATTTCTGCTCAATTCTCAATCTCTTCTTGGTTCACAGCAGCTGCTCCATTGGCTCTAGCACAGCAGCACCTTATATGTGGTGTTAAGTCCCTACTTTTTAAACTCCTATCCCTCATACCACACAGACAAGCTAGAAGAGTTCTAATGCTGATTCAGGGGTAACAGGGATGTTTACATCATAGTGTGATTGGGAGGTAATTTAAAGGTGAATGAACAGCAGGTTTCTCTTTTGAGTCTTTCTGTCATTTCTGTCCAAGAGTGTTCTGGCCTCCCACCTTTCAGCAGAAACGCCTCCCTCCTCAGTTCTTCTTGTCCCTGAATTCTCAATGAAGAGTAGTTACCTAGTTTTGTTTTCTCCTCCTCGATCCTAAATTATCCCCAAGTAAATTAAGAAGGCACATCCCTAAGGAAAGATATTTGGTTTTCCAAGAGACACTTTGGCAACAACTAGTAAAATAAGAATTTTTCTTTTTGCTATATAAGTGTTTCATAAAGAATTGCTTATCTGCTATAGCCAGAGCCCAGCCAAGTGAGAAAGAAGAGAAGAAAGCCAATGTCATCGCTTGTTATTCCTCCTTGATAGTATCCCTTTTTTAACAGCTTTATTGATACACACACATACGTATATATATTTCATGTGCCATATAATTCATCCAACTATAGTATACAATTCAATGGCTTTTAGTATAGTCAGAGAGTTGTGCATCCATTAACACAAACAATTTTAGAAAATGTTCATCAACTCAAAAGGAAACCCTATGAGCCTTAGATATTATCTCCAAACCTCCATAACCCCAAACATTGCTTTGGCATCCTTGTTGAAAATCAATTGCTTGTAGATATATGAAAATTTTTCTGTATTCTCAATTTTATTTATGGAGGAGAGAATGTCCCATATGTGACTGCTTTGGATCCTTAAGCTAGATCCAGCTAGATTTGGACCAGAACAGAGATAGCTTCCCATAAATTCCCTCAGAAAATATCCAATCAACCCCTATTCTATACCCAAGGCATGCTGGTTCCTGAAACAGGGCTTTGCTCTATGCTGGACAAGCATATAAGATGTTTCCCCCCTCTCTGTGGCTGGTCACACCCCAGTACCACTATCCTTCCTGCCCTGTGCTAGGAAGCCCTTTAGTGCCTGCCACATGGCATGGAGGATATCCACGTTGTCCTGCTGCTGCCCAAGACATGCCTCATGTGTAAGTACTTTTTAAAAAAACTCTTGATGTAATCCTGGAGTTGTCAGCCTCTTTCTCCAGTCTCTTGGCCCCAGGAAATTTTCCTAATACAATTCCATTGATGTCTATTCTATCCTTATGCCAGTACCACGTGTTTTGATTACTGTAGCTTTGCAACAAATTCGAAATTGGGAAGTGTGAGTACTTCTACTTTGTTCTTATTTTTCAAGATTGCTTGGCTACTTGGGGTCCCCTGTAATTCCAGATGAATAAAATTGTGAATCAGGGTATCTCAATATTTTCAGTAAAGAAGGACATCCATTTCAGGAGTATGGTAGGACTGAAGACATAGGACTTTAATAAGACATAGGTCCTCATTTCTGTCACTAAATACACAGGCAGACAGACATACAGACACATACTCACACTGTCCCCTCACAAACACTCATGGCAAACATTAGTAACTGATAAGAACATTTCCTCCTCAGTCCATATTAAGACTCAGAAAGACCCAGTTTTTTCTCAATATAGCATCCCAATTTGTGAAAAATGAACTTCTTAGTTGTATAATTTAAACATTTTAAAACTAGGTATGCTATAGGACTTTTATCAAAAACCCCAAAACAGAAATTGTGGAAACTCCCTTTCCAATCATTTAGTCATACATTCAGTAAATACTCATTGAGCAAATCATGGGAAAGGCAGTGTCTGATATTGGGACACAAGAGGAATTAAAGACTTCATTCATAAGTAAAGGAACAAAGTGGGAAGAATAAACAAAAAAGAAAGTACCTCAGAAATACAAGATCGAAAATCCATTAAAGAGGAACAGATAATTCCCCGAAGTAGGCAAGTATATTATTTGTTGAAAGCCTCAATGGACATTCCTTGGGATAGCAAGATGGTCACTGTCTTCAAGCTGGGTACCAAAAGACAATGTATCTGTGCTTCTGAATCTTAACCATTCCCACTTAAAAAACTTCATTTCTTGTCACCCATTCTCCAGGTGCTATTAGGTCTTTCACAATGTCCTCACAACAGCTATACTACTCTCTGACTATTGCTCTCACATCCTGGTCTTGATCCTATCAAAGAAGAGGATCAGAAGCTGCTCCAGCACCAGAAGCTGCAGGATTTGCTCCTTTCCAGCATCTTAGACGACTGCCACTCACAGCAGATCTCCCAGAGTTGGCTCAGAGCATCTTACAACCTTCTGGGAATTGAACTACCTAAAATTTGACTGATGGAAAGTCAAGTGTGGAGAAGACCATCTAACTCTAGATTCCTTCCCCTAACTTAACTACTAGAACCCCTATCAGCATGGGGTGAATGTGCCCCACGTCCTCAGTATGGACTTCCTCTACCTAGAGTTTCCTATGCTTGGTAAGAAAGAGGGAAATCAGGGTGGCAGGAGATGGGGCTTAACACTCCATCTCGTGCTTGCATCATGGAAAGCTGGCTCTCAAGTTCCCTGGGCTTCAGAGAGTCGGTGGGTTTTGTGGGGGTGCAGGATATCCTGCTTTTCTAGGAACTCAACTAGACCTTGGAGTTGGAGCTGAGAACAGGTTCCTCTCCCTGGAGCATGAAACGGAAAAAAAGGGGCTTCAGGGACACTAAGCCTAAAGGGCCTAGTGCCTCATTAGCCCCACTCCAGGCCCAGCTACATAGATACCTCTAGTCCTTCAGGAGGGCCCACAGTGCCCTCCTAGATGCAGCTTGCCTAGGACTCCAGCACTTAAATCACCAGGTCAGCTTGCAACTCTTAACCTCACCTCTTAAACCTGATGATAGCTAAGACATTTGGAAAGAGAAAATTCAACTGCAATGGTCAAAACCAAGCTGGTTTCAAAAAATTTTACTTATAATACATGAATTTGGCAGAACAGCAGGTTACAAAGTCAATATCCAGAAATCAAAGGCATTATTGTATACCAACAATGAAACAGCAGAAGCAGAAATCAAGAAAATAATCCCATTTGATATAGCAAAAGGAAAAATAAAATATCTAGGAATACACCTAACCAAGGATGTAAAGGACCTGTATGCAGAAAACTACATAACACTGAAGAAACATATACCATGTTCATGGATTGGAAGAATTAACATTATCAAAATGTCCATACTACCCAAAGCAATTTACAGATTCAATGCAATACCTATTAAAGCATCAATGGCATATTTCAAAGATATAGAACAAACACTTCAAAAATTTATATGGAATCATAAACGACCCTGAATAGCAGCTGCAATCTTGAGAAAGAAGAACAAAGTAGAAGGGATCACAATACCTGATACTAAACTGTATTACAAGGCCACTGTAATCAAAACAGCCTGGTGCTGGCATAAAAACAGGCACATAGACCAATGGAACAGAACAGACAGCCCAGAAATAAACCCAAATCTCTACAGTCAATTAATATTCAACAAAGGGGGCAGCAACACAAAATGGACTAATAATAGCCTCTTCAACAAATGGTGTTGGGAGAACTGGACAGCTATGTGCAAAAAAATGAAACTCAAGCACCAACTTACACCATACACCAAAATAAATTCAAGGTGGATAAAACTTAAATATAAGCTGTGACACCATTAAAGTCCTAGAGGAGAACATTGGCAAGAAAATCTCAGATATTTCATGCAGCCACTTTTTTACTGATATGTCCCCCAGAGCAAAGGACATAAAAGAAAGAATAAACAAATGGGATCTCATCAAAATTAAAAGCTTTTGCATGGCTAAAGAAAACAGTATTAAATTAAAAAGAGATCCAACTGTATGGGAAAACATATTTGCCAATGATACCTCAGACAAGGGTTTAATCTCCAAAATATACAAAGAACTTACATGACTCCACTCTAAGAAGATAATCAACCCAATTAAAAAGTGGGCAAAGGACTTGAACAGACATTTCTCCAAGGAGGACATACAGAAGATTCAGGGACACATGAAAAGATGTTCAATATCACTAGCTATCAGACAGATGCACATTAAAACCACAATGAGATACCACTTTACACCAGTCAGAATGGCCATCATAAACAAAGCAACAAACAACAAGTGTTGGAGAGGCTGTGGAGAAGAGGGGACCCAAATCCATTGTTGGTGGGATTGCAGACTGGTACAACCATTATGGAAAACAGCATGGAATTTTCTAAAAAAACTAAAAATGGACCTGTCTTTTGATCCAGCAATTCCACTGCTGGGACTATATCCTAAGAACCCTAAAACACCAATCCAAAAGAACCTATGCACCCCAACGTTTATAGCAGCACAATTTACAATAGCTAAGAGCTGGAAGCAACCTAGGTGCCCATCAGTGAATGAATGCATCAAAAAAACGCATCAAAAAACTATGGTACATTTACACAATGGAATTCTATGCAGCAGAAAGAAAGAAGGAGCTCCTACCCTTTGCAACAGCATGGATGGAACTGGAAAGCGTTATGCCGAGTGAAATAAGCCAGGTGGTGAAAGACAAATACCATATGATCTCACCTTTAACAGGAACCTAAACAAACAACAAAAAAAAACAAACAAGGAAAATATAACCAAAGACAGTGAGATGCAGAACAGACTGACAGGGACCAGAGGGGAGAGAATTTCAGGGGAAAAGGGGAAGGGTTCACAGGAACAAGTATAAAGGTCACATGGACAAAAACTAAGGTGGGGGCTAGGAAATAGGAGGGAGGTGGGGAGCACTGGGGGGGTGGGCTGGGATGGGAGTAAAAGACAGAAAACTGTACTTGAACAATAATTAAATAATTTTTTTAAAAAAGACCAATTCCGAACAGCAGGTGAGAAGGGCACTGATGTCCCTTTTACTTCTTTGACTCAAATTATAAGAGAAAATATATTAAGTCACAGAGGTAGAAGAAATGAACTCAGGAAACAAACTACATAAGCAAAAGAAAGGTCCTTGGAGCTTAAGAGAGGAAGGTCAAGGTAATACATCTGGAGGGAGAGACTGAGGAGGGGTGGGACACTACTTCCCAAGGGAGAGTGTTGGGTCCCTCTAGAACCTTTAATGGTGGAACTCTTAGAGGAGGCCCAGGGGCTGAACAGTATATTCATCAGCTTTCTAGGTGTGTCCTTTCAGGGTCCTGGTCTACACTGATTGGTTAGCACCAGAGCAGGGAGTCATCAGTCAATGCAGCTGGTCTGAGGTCAGCCTTAGTATGGCTTGTCTTGTTTTGCTGCTTTTCTGGGCCTGGGGCTGAAATACAACTGAGGCCTAGATGTTATCTGTAGGGAGGAAAGTTCCTGGGTCTAAACTGCATAACCGGCCATGCCCTTGGGGAGGAAAGTCACCCTGCTGAGCAAGGTCCTTGTTTTTCCAGTTTTGCCCATTGCTGGGTACCTGGGGCTTTCTGCCCTGGTGACCCTCTGTACCTGGCCCATTGTCTTTGCTCTGTGTCTAATTGCTTCCCACAGTTACAGTTCCAAAGCAGAGCAATATAAATATGTAAATTATTGCAGTTTTAAAAGTGAAACAGCCAAATAATGTCTAAGTAAAATTTTTTATTATTTAATTACTGTTCAAGTACAATTTTCTGGTTTTTACTCCTATCCCAGCCCACCCCCCCCAGTGCTCCCCACCTCCCTCCCATTTCTACCTGCCTTAGTTTTTGTCCATGTGTCCTTTATACTAGTTCCTGTAAATCCTTTCCTTTTTTCCCCTGAAATTCCCCCCCCCCCTCTGGTCGCTGTCCCTCTGTTCTCTATTTCAGTGTCTTTGTTTTTGTTTTGCTTGCTTGTTTGTTTTTTGTTTAGGTTCCTGTTAAAGGTGAGATCATATGGTATTTATCTTTCACCACCTGGCTTATTTCACTCAGCATAACGCTTTCCAGTTCCATCCATGCTGTTGCAAAGGGTAGGAGCTCCTTCTTTCTTTCTGCTGCATAGAATTCCATTGTGTAAACGTACCATAGTTTTTTGATGCATTCATTCACTGATGGGCACCTAGGTTGCTTCCAGCTCTTGGCTATTGTAAATTGTGCTGCTATAAACATTGGGGTGCATAGGTTCTTTTGGATTGGTGTTTTAGGGTTCTTAGGATATAGTCCCAGCAGTGGAATTGCTGGATCAAAAGACAGGTCCATTTTTAGTTTTTTTAGAAAATTCCATACTGTTTTCCACAGTGGTTGTACCAGTCTGCAATCCCACCAACAATGGATTTGGGTCCCCTCTTCTCCACAGCCTCTCCAACACTTGTTGTTTGTTGCTTTGTTTATGATGGCCATTCTGATCTGGAATTGGTCTTTTGATTCCACCACTGGGAAGTTATCAGTTGGTTACTTGTGTTTCCTGGTGCTCTCTGAAGTTGGAACGTCAGAACAGGAAGATTTTTGCTTCCAGGTCTGCCACCATGTCCTCAGGCCCAAAAGCACAAGCTCCAAAAGAGTAAAGAAGGGACAGAGCCCAATGACCCCAAACATGGTCTTTAGGAAAATGGTCTTCTCAGTGGGGCGGGACAGATTACAGGTTATACTGCCAAGGCAAGGCTCCCGACGACATGCAAAGGAGCTGGGCATCTTGAACCCATACAGATGGTACTGTCCCCCCAAGGCTGCCCCCCTCAAGGGCCAGTCGCACCCCCAGCTGTGCCACATAGGCCCAGAGCAGCCTGGGCCTTTCAGCCCCTGAGGCATCCATGCTGCCCTGTCCTTGTTGGATCAGGGTCTCCTCTTCCTTCTTCACCTTTCCCGAGTCTTCCCAATGCCAGATGCCATGATACATGGTGAAACCCATGTAGAGGGCACTGGGCACAGCCACCAAGATGACCTGGAAGGCCCAGAAGCACAGTGGGGAGAGGGGGTGGAAGGCATCATAGCAGGCTGCCTTGCAGCCTGGCTGCTGGGTGTGACAGACGAATTCGCTCTGCTCATCGCCATAGACCCCCGTCCCAGTGGCAGCCAGCAGCACAAGGCGGAAGCCCAGGACCACGGGAAGAAGGAGGCGCCCCACCGGGGTGGAGTGCCAGCTCTCCTCAGCCACCAGCCGCCTCAGGAACTTGCCACACATCCTGTTAGGGAGCACAGGACAATGATGAATATAAATGTGTTGCTTACAGTCCTTTAGGGGGGGCCATAGGCCACCTTTTCACTGAGTTCAAAGATGCGTAACCTCCCCCAACTGGCTGCCTTCTCCAACTAGCTATCATCCTGCTCTCCATCCGTGAGTCTGTCCTCCTATCTGCTGTTGTCGGGAGAAACAGCCCACATCCGGTTACCCTCGGCGTCCAGGCCTGGGTAGCGGAGCAACGACAGCCCGAGGCTCCAGAGCTACCCCGCCACGCCCGGGCGGGGAAGGGCCGCCTTGAGGGCGGATCGCCCGGCCACTCAGCCCCCGGCCCCGGAAGTGCGGCCGCCATCGGTTTCGCTGACCGCCCGCAGCCCGCGCACCGCCCGCAGCCCGCTCCCCGCCTCCCCGCAGGCCCCTCGGGCTTTAGGGGCGAGGAGCGCCATGGCTGCAGAGGACATCCAGGAGGAGCTGACCTGCCCCATCTGTCTGGATTATTTCCAGGGTGCGGTGTCCATAGAGTGCGGCCATAACTTCTGCCGCCACTGCCTACGCCATAACTTGGCACAGGGCGGCGACCGCTTCCCCTGCCCCGTGTGCCGAGAGCCGTCCTCATCCGCCGCGCTTAGGCCCAACTGGGCCCTGGCCCGGCTGGCGGAGAAGGCGCGGCGCCGGCACCGGGCTCCAGATTCCTGCGGCCTGTGCGACCGCCACCTGGAGCCCCTGCGGCTCTTCTGCGAGGACGACCAGCGGCCCGTGTGCCTGGTGTGCAGGGAGTCCCAGGAGCACCAGGACCACTCCATGGCGCCCGTGGATGAGGCCTTCGAGAGCTACCGGGTGAGCTGGCCCTGAGGGGCTTGCCGGTATTGCCCGGGAATGTCCACCGTTTACTTAACTTTCATAAAAGCCCCATGAAGTGGTTGCTAGTTCCATTGGAAGCATGAAAAACCCCTTGAGTGTATAACTCAAAAAAGTTATACACTACACGATCGTAGAGCTGAAGTTAAAACTGGAAGTGGGACGGGGCGGTGTTAGGCTCGTCATCACCGAGGAGCTTTCAAGGAGCTGGCCCAGGGGAGCTTCTAGTTTAAGAAAAACACTGAGACCGTGTTTGTATACCATCGCTGTCCAACAGGAACATAAGGCAAACCACATGTGTAATTAAACATTTTTATAGTGGTAAAAAGAAGAGGCGATGTTAATTTTTAATAATATATTTTATTTAACCTAATTATCCAAAATGCTGTTTAACATTGTTACGAAGGATTATCAGTGAGATATTTTTTCATAGTAGGTCTTTAAAAATCTGTGTGTACTTCATTTATAGCACATACCAATTTAAGCTGTGCACATTTCAGGTGCTCACATGGCAACTGGATGTTATATGGGACAGTGCAGGTCCGTCCAAACAGGTGTTACCGACAACTGATGATTTGGGAAAGCATGGTGTGGAATGATGAGACCGGATTTTAGAAGTTTCCTTCAGCAGTTGGGAAAATCACTTAATGTTTGAATTATGGATTATTTGTCCTATCTCATGCATTAGTTAAGGTTCAGTTGAATAAATCAGTTTATACTACTCTGCTCCAGCCACACTGGCCTTCTTGCTTTTGTTTCAAGGCTGTTCTCTTTCTCTACTCACATCTTCCATTCTTTAGATCTTACTTGCTTTTAGCTGAAGACCTTCCTTGATCATCCTTTCCTGGGTAGCCCTACCCCCTTCCATAATTGACGGTGTAACTCCACTGGCCTCCAACAGAATTAGTATCTAGTAAGTACTGGTTGCATGCAATTATTTAATGATACAAGTTAAAGTGTTTTGTAAACTATAAAATGCTGTACAATTTTATTAGCGAATTACAAACAGGAAACATGTAAAGCTGGAGAATGAAGTGTACGTTAATTTCTTCATTTAATAACATTATTGATGCTTACTGTATGCCAGGCACTGTTCTAGAATCTGGACATAAACAAATGAGAAAGACATGGGCCCTATCTTGTAGGGTACATAAGCATGTACACCAATAATTTCAATGTGTGAGAGTTACCCAGGTGTGTACCAAGTACACAGAATGATCAATGAGGAATGAGGAATGGCTTCACAGAGGCGTTATGAATGTAGCAAGGGAGGGGAGAGGATATGCAAGCCAAGGGAACAACATATTCAGTGTGGCAGTGTGGAATAGCAACTGGAGGTTGGTTGGTACTTCTGCAGTGTAGATCATGGGAGGTGGGATGGTGGGAGTTGAGGTTGAAGAAAAAGTCAAGGGCCATGTCATGAAGGATCCTGTTCACAGCTTTCTCTTTGAGGCGGTAGGGAGTCACTGAGGGATTGAGTTAAAGGTAGGGAGTGACACACCATCAGTTTTTTTGTTTTAGAAAGATCCCTTTGGTATCTTTGTGGGTGGAGAAGACCAATTAGACTGCTGTTGCACCATTTCAAGCAGGAGGCAACAAGGGCCTGAATTTGTGCAGGGCAGGGATGATGGATAAGAGGGGATGGATTCAGTATGAGCGAAAGTTGAATGACTTGGTGACTAATTGGACTTGGTAGGTGAGGGAGAAAGAAGAGTCCAGGATGGCAGTCCAGACTTCTAGTACTCATTTTGGCACCTGTTGAGTATGAAGTAACTGTGATAGGAAGTCCAAGAAAGAGGGACGGGAGGCAGGGGGCATCAGAGGCTCGAAACACTATTTTAGAATTGTCAGCATATCCTTGAAATCATAGAGGAAGTAAACAGATGAGATTCCCCTAGGGGAACAATATAGAGGGTAAGAAAAAGGGGGTATAAAAGAGCAGCTTGGGAAATAGCAGTGCTTAGTAGCCAGCAAAAGAGATCGAAAGGACCCATTAGAGAAATGGAAGGGAAAACACATTTGTGGGTGAGGGCTGAGACAAATAAAGTTGGTGGGTATTAAACAGGAACATAGCCCTTAAATCTTCAGCAATAATAATAATGATATTAATAGTAGCTATCAGTTGATTATTTATGTACCATCTATAGTTCTAAGCATTTTCCATACAGTAATTCTTTCATCCTCATAGCAACCCTAATGGATTTTATTATCCCCATTTTGCAGTTGAGACACAGAGGTGTGAGGTCATTTGCCCCAGGTCACAGAGCTAGGAAGTAGGAAAGTCTAAATTGAGGTCCTCTAACTCTTAGTCCATTGTTCACTCTTAGTGGACTCTTAGTCCACTGTTCACTCTGTCACATCTAATCTAGCCAACAAGACTTCTTGAAAAAGGTGGAATTTCAAGATTAAATAATGTGTTCAACAGGTGGGGAGTAAGTAGGGAAGAGTAACATTGGGATGGCCTGAATATCACAAGGTTGACTGGGTGGGTGTTCAGGAGTTACATCATTAGGCAGAATTCCTTGGTATGTGTCCTGCTCTGTACCCTCTGTCCCTACCCACAGTTAGTTAGAAAAACACTAAATCGCTGTTGGGTGGAGCTACCCTGTTTCCAAGCATACCATTTCCAGCATATACTCAGATGGGTGGTCTGTGTCTTAAAAGTTGGGAGTTCCCTAATCTCTGGAAAATATCTCCCATCCTAAACCTACACCGGAGCCTGGCAAACAGTGTGCCAGATGTTTCCTATCAGGATCTGCGCTCCTGAGTACTACATCCAGAAAACCACCTTTGATAAATTCCTAGTCCACTCTGCTTGCTCTCTTTGGGCCATACCAGTGGCTCAGGACACAGTTAAGATGACCTGGGAGCATTTTTAAGAAATACCCAAGCCATTGATTTCTGAATATTGACTTTGTATCCTGCTGTTTTGCCAAATTCACTTACTAGGCTGAGTAATTTTTTGGTGGATTCTAGGATTTTCTATGTACACTATCATGTCATCTGCAAACAATGACAGTTTTGCTTCCTCCTTCCCAATTTGGATGCCTTTTATTTCTTTTTCTTCTCTGATTACTGTGATTAGGACTTCCAATACTATGTTGAATAGAAGTGGTGAAAGCGGACATCCTTGTCTTGTTCCTGATCTTAGTGGGAAAGTTTTTAGTTTTTGCCCATTGAGTATGATGTTGGCTGTAGGTCTCTCATATATGGCCTTTATTATGTTGAGGAATGCTTCCTCTATTCCCACTTTGTTAAGTGTTTTTATCATGAATGGGTGTGGTACCTTATCAGAATTTTTTCTGCATCTATTGATGTGATCACATGATTTTTGTCTTTCCTTTTGTTTATGTGATGTATTATGTTTCTTGATTTGTGAATATTGTACCATCCTTGCATCCCTGGGATGAATCCCAAAAGATCATAGCATATGATCTTTTTAAAATACTGCTGGGTGCGGTTTGCCAATATTTTGTTGAGGATTTTAGTATCTGTGTTCATCAGCGATATTGGCCTGAAGTTTTCTTTCTTTGTTATGTCTTTATCTGGTTTGGGGATTAGCAGCAAATGAGTGGATCAAAAAACCATGGTACATTTACACAATGGAATACTACATAGCAGAGAGAAAGAAAGAGCTCCTACCCTTTGCAACAGCATGGATGGAACTGGAGAGCATTATGCTAATGAATAAGCCAGGTGGTGAGGGGTAAATACCATATGATCTCACCTTTAACTAGAACATAATCAACAAAAGAAAAAGAAAAAGAAAAGGCACCTGAAATTAAGAACAATCTGACAGTAACCAGAGGGGAGGTGGGAGTTTACAAACACAAATTCATTCCTCTGACATCCCTTTAGGTAATGAGAATATGTGTAATGAAATGACACTGTTATTATTGGCAGGTATTTAAACTTCAAACTCCAAGGTAAGCCTCTGGTGGCATGCATGAAGAAAGTAAAAATCAAGTTAAATTTATTGTAATAATAACAATCTTTTTGAGCATTATGTTTCAGGGGAAGAGTTTCAGGAACTATTGTCAAGGACACATGGACAAAACCAAGGGGGAAGGTGGAAGCAAGAGAGGAGGTGGGTTTGTCTGGGGTGGGGGTGGGGTAGTGGGGGGAAAATGCAGACAGCTGTAATTGAACAACAATAAAATAATAAAAATAATATTTTATCAAATAAAAATAAATAAATACCTGAGCCACACTTCTTCCCTACCCCTCACCTCCTAGGCATTTTGATTCACTTGGTGGGGCCCCTAGCACCAGCATTGTTTAAAAGTTCTGTACGTGGTTCTAAAGTACATGCAGGATACAGAACCATAGACCCATATCTTACTACTTTCACAGAGGGAAATCTCAAAAAGTCTTTTGGAACACAAGTTGTTTTTAAGAGAATCATTGGTAGTGGAAGAGAAAAAGAGGGAACAGAAAAAGAAATAGCTTCATAAACTTGAGGGAGCAGATTGTTTGCACAGCAAAGGCTTCTAAGCACTGCTCTTCATACCATCATTTCAGTATTTAATATGCTGATTCTTGGAGAGAATCCCTTTATTGCTATTAATTCATTTAAAAAATATTTCTTGAATACCTGTTTTGTGTCAGATACTGTACTACTGTGCCAGTCATAGCACTGGAAATACAATGGTGAGTAAGACAGGTAAAGCCTGTTTTCATGGAGTGCATGGTCTAGTTGAGGTGGGAGGTAGACAATAGACAGACAAATAAATGAAATAATGACAGATTGTGATACACTGTGAAAGAAATAATGTGCTATGCCAGAGAAGTAACAGGGCAGCTTTCTCTGAGGCGATGACATTTCAGTTGAGACCTGATGGATGAAAAGGAGCCTGCCATCTGAGGAACTGGGGGAAGAACATTCCAGGCTGTGGACAGCAAGTGCAAAGATGTGAGGCTGGGGAAGAGCTGGACATATATATGGAACAAGGTCTAGGCACCTGGAGTGTCGTGAGTGA